TCATATGAGAATACTCCTAAATGTCTACGCTTCTGACATATCAGAGGTAGACCGTCTAGCAAAGATGTAATGTTGTGTCTGCTTAGCCTGCATTTGTATTTCCTTGTATTCTCAAGGCCATTTATTCCTTCATTTAACAGTGTTGTACTTAAAAAATGATGAGCAAAAGAACTCCCCACGGGACAAATCAGAAATGTTTTTTTGTTCTTTTTCATTGGGCTGAGTATTTGACAAACAGTTCTTTTACACACAAAAGTTTCTTGAAGGTTCTTCAGAATTGCATGAGAGAAGAAATCATGTCGCAGGTAGTTAATACGACACTCAGTTGAAGTATTCCTGTATTGCCTGATTTTCTTGTGAGCCCTATGATGGAGAGACTTAAGGATGAACTTGAAAAATACTGAAACTAGATTGTCAGGTTCTGTTATATTGCTACATGTATCTTGCTTAATCTCTGCTTGTTAATTTATATTCAACTAATTATAAAGTAGATTTGGAGGAAAAGAAACAAAGTTTTCCCAAACATGCGAGAGGATATTGCATCCCTCTTACTTTTGGTTGTCATTTTTATATTGAATAACTTGTTGTTGATAAAAAGAAAATCCCCGAATTTCCTAAAGAAACCTGAGATAATTCCTTATAACTATTTAATTTATTTAAATTAAGTGATTTTGATTTATTTAAATAACTCCCATCTATTATTTAAACCTTCTACAAGGGTTATCTCTAAATTTTTTTCAGATCTGGTACTAATTTTGCTAAATAGCTTGACTTAAAGAATTCAGTCTCCCCAAGCCCTTGGCTACATTTCATTCTGGAATGCCTGCGCAGTGACTCACCTCACATTTTTGGCATTCCAGATGACGATTAAGGAAGTGTCATCATGACATGAAGAGTCATGTGTAACAGCCAGTCAGTCTCATAAAACAGCTGGCCAGGGTTTTAGCTAAGTCACATGCCCCCTATATAGGAAGCTTTCTATCCCAAAACAAAAGAATGTCCAAAGGAAGGCCCAGGGGACACAGAATCGCTCCCCATAGCTTAATGTAACTGCAAGGTGATCCTTCAAAACCGCTCAGGAGTTAGAAGCTTGTGTCAGAGTGCTGAGCATAGCTTCGTGCCTCAGAATTTAGCTGTTTCTGAGTACTTGGAGAGTACCCAAGTGAGAGCGAAAAAACACGAAACACTGGTTAGAAAACCAGCCCATATGAGGGAAGGAATGAAAATTGGCCCTTATATGCCTGGTGCTTAACGTTCAGCCTCGATGACAGAGGGGGTGGGCTTCATAGCTTTAATCATGCTGTGCCCTGAAAGACAGAAGTTTTCGGATTCTTCTTGGTACAGTACAAAGGGAAAGCAAAGCTTTTATTTTTTTTTTGTTGCTATTTGTTATTGTTATTTATTATCATATGCTGGTTTTAAAAAAGATTTATCTATTTTTAATTATTAATATGCATCACTGGGTATGTGCATGTAGGGACAGGTACCTTAAGAGGCCAGAAGTGTTGGGTCCTCCTGGAACTGGAGTTACAGGGGGTTGTGAGCCACCAGATATGAGTTCTGGGAACCCAACTGTTCGTAAGAGCAATAATGTTCTTAATAGCTGTCTGTCCTTAGTTGCTGTTTCTTCCTTTCCTACATATAAAGTTATGAATTTCATTATGGCATTTTCATACAGACTTTATTCCTTTGATCCTCATCTTCGTTTCCCTCCTCCATCCTCCTGGCACCTTCCTGCAAGTCTCCTTCCTCAGTCCATTCTCTTGTTTTACACGTCACATGTACTCTACGACCTTCTGTTTTATTTTCCTCTCCCTTATGTTCCCCCTCTCATAGCCCCCTTTTAAATTTCATAATTATATATGGATTAATGAGCATATATTATATCATATCATATTCTCATACATGCACAGGGGAGAGAAATATGTGATGTTTGTCTTTACAGTCTGGGATGTGCCACTTAACTGAATATTTATGTTTACGTAAACATTTATGTTTGCTGTAATAACTAAAAGGAATCAGCCTGCCTGTCTGTCAGCAGGTGAATAGATAACGAAAATGTGATAAAATGGAATCTTTTCAGTTACAAAAAAAATAAAATAAAATAAAATTATGACATTTGTATGAAATGGACAAAGCTATGAAAGTTTTAGGGAAATGTAAATTTTTCTTGTGTTTTATATCCAGACATGAAGAGTTCCGGGAAGTTAAGACAGACTCAGATCCCTTAGCAGTGGATGCCTGGAACACTGTTCAGTGCTGAGTCATAAGGAAGCTCAGTGTTTGTTGACTGAAATAAGCTTTGGTTACATGAATTTCAGGGACTTACCAGGGCTGCTTCTCATTCATCCTTTAGCTGAAAAAACCATTTAGGGACGTCTATGGTAGCTATAAAACGCTCTAGTTCCTATTTGTAATGAGTTTTACTTTTAAAAACAACACATATGGATTTGAAACCACATGCCCTAACGCTAAAAGACTTCAGAGAATACAAGTATACAAGGATATGAAGATGATGGAACAGAATATTTTCTATCAAGTTCCATAAAGATGGTTTCATTTCTAAAATTCAGTCATTTGGGAATAATCCAACATACTGATTAAAGGTTACTCTCCCATATTTTGTATTTTGCAGTGCTGTTTATAATATTAAAAACTTGAGTTTGTAGAAAAGCCCATGTGAAAACGCCATTTATCCTGTCAGCTAAGCAAGCTTTCCCTGGCACTTTGTTTGGGTCCCATTACTGTTTGCCATGTGCCTACTTGTCTAGTGCATGTTTAACCTCCAGGCTCACTCAAAAAACAAACAGACAAACAAACAAACAAAACATGCCTTTCTTTTCTCTCTCTTTCCCACTCTGCTTCCCTGGGAAGATAAAGAGGTTTATGGCTTGCCTGAGGGTTTTTTTCTTTTAACCACTAATAAAATTGTCCTCAAGATTCCATTTGAGTTCATTGTTAAATTATTTTATTAATGAGGCTAAGAACCCTAATAGAGAGAAAAAAACTTACTCTGAAAAGTTAATTCAGACAGCTAGATAGTCTGTTACCCAGAATCTTTTAAAGTGTCAGTCTCCAATACTCATCCTCTGTTAGCTCAGGAAGTAGTGAAGAAATGGTCAGGAGTTTCAAATCAAGAAAAACACACTAGGCTTTTCAGACACTCCTGAGCCAATATACCTCTAATTGTACAGGAATATACATATAGAAGGTTAGACATAAGTATAGATATCTTGAAAACCCTTTCCTGGGCACACTTTGGGTATCTCACTTGAAGTCAGGCTGAGGATACTGAGTCTACTCAGATAGGTTCCTGATCCCCACATCCATGAGGTTTCTCCCCTCACGAATGTCACTGGAACATGCCAGAACAATAAAAGCAAGTTCAGGCACAGAAAGCATTTTCATTTTCCACATAAAATAGCATCTGCCTTTTCCCATGCTGACTCTGCAGGGCGGCTTATTTACAAAAGTATAAATAGCTGCAACTTTACTCCAGGCCCATTGAAAAATCAAAATGGCATCATGCAAGAGAAGCATCCTAGCATACTTGGCTCAGTGAGTGAAATGTAAGTGGAGAGGAGCCAAATGACTTGACACTCGGTAGTCAGCTTAACCAGACACCCTCCAGTTTCCTGTCTAGAGGAACCCAGGGTTATGCTCTAGCAGAGCTCAAAAATTCACTTTCGTTGACTGTCCAGAGGCTGGGGAGTGATTTACAGCCAAAGGTTGGAAAACAAATTTCAGTTCACGCCTAACACTCACACTACTGTGGATACAAAGGGGAAAAAGGCATCTCCTAATAGTGGGAATACTTGTTAAAAATCAACCTAATCTGCTTTCGTGTAAGTCCAGTGAATTTAAAATGACTCGCGCCAATCGGTTCTTTGCCCACATTGCCAAACTTGTTGTGATTTAAATCAACAGGAAAAAAGAAAAAGAAAAGGAATGCAATTAAAATTTGAACAGAATGTATTGCCTTTCCCAACTTTAATAAACGTTATCTAGTGGTAGTTGATCTCTCTCCCTCCTCCAAACACATGTGCATGCTCCTGAACTCACACCCATGCATGCACGCTTGCTATACCGTGAATCTCACTTTTCTTCACAGCACATGTGTAACCAAGCACTGAACTGCTGAGCTGCCCTCAGGGCCTGCTCATGAGACCACCCAAACAGCTCTACCTTATGATACCACATGACCCCTTAAATTTCCCCTCAACATCAAATTCCGCTCTTTCTTAACATCTTAGGTTCTCATCGCTGAACGAACAGAATGACATTAAGTTAAAGCTATCCAAAGCATCACAAAACAGGAAGCTTAAAAGAAATGTTTCTGAAGGGAACAACAAGTTATGAAGTTAGTCCCCTTAAAGAATCCAAGGATAGACAAAAAGACATGTGGTGAGAGTGAGGACATCCACGAAGGTCATATTCACTCTCACACAAAGACATCTATGCTGCATGCTAAACCCAGGGCCCATGGAACTTCTCCACAATTGTGATTTTAAATGCAGGAATGTTCAAGATTGACCTAAGACACAATACAAAAAACAAAAATAACAACAACATCCAAAAAAACAAAAACAAAATCCTGCCCACTTCAAGCTCTATTCTATATATCAAAAAAAGCACACAAAGCCAAATGGTTATCTTAATTCATCACAAAACATAGCATATACAAGTACCAGCCTTTTGTGTCTAAATGTACATTGAGCCTTATGTTTCAAAGTTCACATTTTAAAATATGATATCAGCCATGTTTACTTTAAATGCTAATAAGATTTTCCCCAAAATTGTATTTAATTTTCTAAAGACTCAATTGTAAAGGATTCAATTGAAGAGTTTTATCAATAACAAATATACATCATGTATTTGTTACAGCATTGGGGTACACTACTGAGCTTTTATTTTTTTTTTTGAGCAATAATTTGGGATATTCTTAAAAGATAATTTTGTAGTATCGTTAAAGTGAAAAGAAAGCAAATTAGTTTACTCACACAGTGTCTCTGACAAGAAGTGTGCCTCCCAATTTGAAACAGGTTTTATCACCTTCGCAAAATGCATGCCTCAGAGCAAAGCTCTCTGCCAGATCAAAGCCTGTAAAATGTGACATGTTATTAAACCCAGCAATAAACTCAAAGACACACTGATTTTTAAACAGGATTTTTTTGTTATCCATATACACAGGTTGATTGATTGAAAAATAAAATCCTCCTGTTTGAAATCAACAAAGATGTTCCATTTCTTTTTTCTCATTTTTCTTTTAGGGTACAGGAGAATAAAACTCTCTTCTCATGCAGAAGGTATAGCTATCTTTCTAAATAACAGTTTATAAATATAGTTCTTTTTTTGCTTTGCCTGGTTTGAATTTAAAGCAAGCCTCCTACATCAGCCTTCCCTGTGCTGAGATTGCAAGAGTACATCTCCGTGTTTGCTCCTCACAGATGTTTCAAAGGAATGAAATATCACTTTGCTTTAGTCTAGGAATTGACCTGCATGAATTATTACCATAGTTCACTGTAACATCTCTAAAATATAAACAGAAAATTAGATAGAATAAAAATAGTAGTCATTGATTTAAAATCTAAACAGCCTCTTACAAAACCATACTTCAGGAGAATTATATGAATGTGGGGAAGTGCTTAGAATCCAAATGCAATATACGTGATATCATCCTATATATGTGAGAGCACTGGAGAAAAACAGAAAGAGAATATGGAAAGGAAGGTGAGAAGGGGAGAAGAAGGAAAATAGGAATGTTGGTAGCACATGCCTAGAGTATGCTTTGGAAGCTGAAGCAGGAGGATACTGAGTTTGAGGCCAGCCTTCGATGATCTTGTCAAAAAAAAAAAAAAAAAAAAAAAAACCAAAAAAACGAACAAGCAAAGTGACAATAACAAAGACAATATTAATAACAAAAGAAAATAGAAAAACAGTAAAACAATGCTACACCGAAATTGTGTGGAAATCATGACTACATCTGTATGCTAGAATATCTCATAAATATTCTCTTTGCCAAATTGCAACAGAAGGCACAATGTTTGTGATTTTACACAGCTTTTGTTCTTGACCAAGGTGAGGTATTGTTCCTCACCAGTATAGAACTGAGATTAAACAGTATAGAACTCTGCTGTCAGTATTTTTCCTGCAGCATTTACCTTCCATTTCTCTGTGGATGTTCTGACCTTAACCTGTAATGTTAGCACAGTAGCACTAAGGCTCGCGTAGGGAAATCTCTTTCCTTCTAGTCAAGAGGATAAAATCTCTGGCTTGGCAGATACCTAACATCCCATTTGGGCAGGGTCAGTGAGCTGCCTGAGGGACCACCCTAGGACAATGGGTTTACTGTAAACCATACTAAAGAGAAAAGTAGAATAAGTATTCCGTCAATGGGATAATGTACTTTACCCTCCCTGAATCCCCTCTCCCTAATGCAGTCTCTGAAAGGGCCTCAACCACACAGCATCTGGCCACTATGAAGGGACACCGCAAACGTTCTGATAATGATGTAAACAAAAAATTCAGGCTAAGGTGTGTCTGGTGACAATTTTGCACAAAGCGTTACTTAGCAAAGAATCGTAATGCATACCTAAAACTCCGAGTTTGTTTCTGTCTTCTTGATATCCCTCCATCCTCAGCATAGGGCAGGTTGTTTCTATTTTAAAAAGCATAAGTCGATTGAACTTAATTTTCCATCATACATTTCTCCCAAATAAAGCATAAGATCATAAACAAGATAAAAGTGAAAATAAAAACAAATTGAACCATAAGGTGGAGACTGCCCCTGTCCTGTCCTTTGTCTGTGAAGATTTAGTGCTTGCTCATATAAAATATTTAGAACATCGCCTGGCCTAAGGGGGAAGCACACTGATGCTGGCTAATGCAGTCACCTTTACTCAGACATCGATATGTTTCTATATATTTGACAATAGGAATCAGCTAACATTCACAGCTTCATTAAACTCCTCAATCAAACGTGTACACTGACAGTTAAACAAGTGGCATGCCTCTGTATTTTATCATAACTTTATTCAGGCTTTGTTACCAGGTGATCCTAATCCTTTATTACAGAAGGTAACATGACTAGAAACAAAGTAAGTAAAATTAGAGAGCAAAGACCTTTTTATGATAAGAATTGAGGAACTTAGTACTTTACAAGTCTGTCAATTAACGTTCAAAGGGATAATCTCTCCACAGTGAATTTATATGTTCAATAAAACCACATCGTAGAAGTGTGGTGATGTAAGTGCATGCATTAGTCTTTGAACTGATTTCTGTAAGCCTGATTCAGATTATAACCTACAAATGAAATGGTGCAGGCAGAACTGCCACCTAAATCAGGCCACAGCTACACAACAGTATAAACTATGTTCTTTAAGTATATTAAACTTTTTTACATGATTCAGTCATAAACTCAGTTTTCCACATATAAACTTTATGCGTGAGTTTCATGTTATAAATTTTATAGTACAGACAGAAAATAAACAGCGTATAACCAAACTGAGCATGTGCTTGGCTGAAAGTGAAACCTCTAGGTTTCCAGATAATTAATGAATGCCTTAGCCTTTTGTTTGACAAACATACCTCAGACCTAGAGTTGGTGACAAGCAATCAGCGTATTTAACTTGGAGGGTATCAAGGCCTAAGTAGAGCTAGCACATATTTTACAAGTAAAAATCAAATAACATATTCTTTCTGAATGACAATTAAAATAGCAATTCCAATAGATCAGGGTGTGTGTGTGTGTGTGTGTGGGTGTGTGTTTAAAAACTGACAAGCTTATTCTCTAGTTAAAGTGGGAGAACGAAGATACAAAATAGCTAAGGGCAAAGCTGAGCAGTAACTTGGAGACAAATGAAGAGATTCAGGAATTGTTTTGACATGGCATTGATGTACATATAGAAAGACAGATCAATCAAGCAGAGTGGGAGGTCCAAATGCAGACCCTTCCACATATAGCTTCATTTACTGCAAAAAAGAACACAGCAAGTCAGTGGTAAATGGAGGCTCCTTTCAATTAGTGGAATCTGGTATTAGATACTAATACAGAAAATACTGAATCTTGATTTTTACACTACATGCAGAAATTGGAATAAATTATAAATGTGAAAAGTAAAACTTTTTTAATAAAGCAGGTTCGGTATTCTGTAAAGCTTTGTGAGCTTGGAGAAGGGAAGGTTTCTTTGTGGGGTGGGGGGCAGGTTGAGACAAGGTGTCTCTGTGTACCCTTGGCTGTCCTAGAACTTGCTTTGTAGAATAGCCTGCCCTAAAACTCAGAGATTCGCCTGCCTCTGCCTCCCAAGTGCTGGGATTAAAGGCGTGCACTGCCAGTTGGCCTGCAAAGGTTTTTTTTTTTTTTTTCCTTTGAAATGGACAAAGCATTAATGACAAAAAAAACATTGATAACTGGGGCTTCATTAAAATTAAAACACTTGTTAATCAAAAGATCAGATTGTGAAAACAGAGAATGGGGGGTATTTGTACCAAATATATCTTAAAGAGAGGAAGCAAATCACACATTGAAGAAAATATCCAATTAAGTAGTCTCCAGAAGAAACCCTGAGCCCTCACAAATGAGTAAAATGTGAAAGAGTATGCTTCAAGTACGTTCAAAACACTTTTTAGCATTTCACAAAACAGAATATCCAAACTGCCAACCCTCATATTCAGAGTTGTTCCACTTCATTAGTAGATGAAGAGTGAATAGAGATGTAGAGTAAATTACTAAGATTCCGTTAATGACTAAAATTAAAGAACTGTATTTCCAAGTGTTGGTGAGGATGTGACAAATGGCAATGTTTCCAGCTCTTCTACATTGCATTGGCGGTGGCGAATGGTGCAGCCACTTGAAAAAAAAGTGTTTGACAATATTTACTGAAGGTAATGATGCATGAAACTTTAAGGAAGAGAAACTCATTGATCCAAGAGACATGAAAGCAAAACATGAATGGAAAGGACCTTTATGGATAAAAATGTCTACGCTATCATTACTCATAGAATTACAAACGTAAAAGTTCATGGACAAGGGGACATACTGCACTATAAACAAACAGACAAACAAACAACAAAACTGGATAGCCATTAAAAAAAAAAAGAAGAAGAGGAAGAAGATTTGACTTGATACATGCATCTGTTTGGATCTTAGAGGTAAAGTAAGTGGGAAGTGCCATTTCCCCTAACTAAATACAACCTACTCCATTTCTGTGAGATTATACAACCAATCTGTGTCAGAGGAGTGATTGCCAATGGCGGGATGTCACCTCAGAGCAGGTACACAGGAATCTGCTAGAATCCTGGATGTATTGCATGATCTTATTTGGGTGATAATTATATGAATGTACACATAGACAAGTAAAAATCCACTGTGTTGTGCTCTTAACATTTACTGACTTTAGATAATATAAGGAAAATCTCAACACAAGGAGAAAAACAGTAGCTCTCTTGAGAAAATATTTTAATCTACACACAAGTACAACATTTAAGTTTAAAAAAGCAAATTTCCAATAAAATGTATATTGGCTGTGAATGTCTACACGGCAATAAATGGTAAGAGGAGGGTCGCATTTGTCACGCCATATACACATAGAGAGAAGATTCCGTGCATGACTGGCAGGACAAACTTGTGGGCAGCAGAAGGGTGTCCCTGCTGTGAGGCTTTGGAGAGGGAGGTGTGTGGCCTGTTTTCATTAGGAAACTGTAAATCTCATTTAAATTCTTCCTAGCAAATAGATGTTGATGTCAACGAAATAAACACAGTGCTTTGAAATAAATTGAATGTAACATTTCCGGCAATATTTATGTATTTCTCCACTCAAAGTATTCAGTTTATGAAACTTTAATGCCATTTCCAGCCTTTAAGCTTTGTTGTGAACAGCTGAACAAAACAAATTAAAGCTAAGTGTTTTAAGATTTAAGGGGCAAGAAGATAAATTTATGAAGACTTATTAATTCATTACACAAAAGGACAAAGCAGTGTCAATGCCTAGACTAACCAATTTAAATATTGACATATACATTTTAATATAAAACAGTAGAAGTAACTAACACAAGTTGGATATGTTAATTTATTCAAATATAAATATAGAAGCATACATGCACATTTAAATATTAATGTCCCTTTAGACTTATGCATAAGACTCAAATATTGTCACAGGTAGACAAGACCAAGTACAGAAACTCTGTCCCTCAGAGGCTCTCTGGAGTATTTCAGACTGATGAATGCCATCTTTCTTAGAAAGAGGCACTTGCTTGCAGAACTCAACAGTTTTCAAAAGCAAATAAAATTGCTTTAGTAAAAGCATGCTAAAGCATAATGTTAATGGTTGCTTGTCAAATTTCCTTTTTACATGGCTTGAAAGACCTGGGCTATCTATAAGATTGGGTGGATCTTGAAAGGAGCCACAGGAAACAAAAAGGAAATCAGCTAGCTCAACTTTGCATACGTCATGACTTTATCTCACCTGCCTTTAAAGAAACATCTTCTAATTCTCTGATCACTGGCCATCTGAAAATAAGTCACCCCAGAGAAATAGGCCATGTATCTAAGCCATGGAAGAGTACAGAAAAACGCATTTCTCGCAAAGCAACTTTTCCTACTTCTTTATTGAACATCTCCTCTCAAAAATATTTTTTACACAAAATAACATACCTAAGAAACCCTCTTTGGGGCAGGGAGGAGATGAGGGAGGGAGGGTGGGATTGGGAGGGAAAGAGAGAGGGGGCTACAGCTAAGATACAAGATTAATAAACTGTAACTAATATAAAAAATAAAAATTTAACTTAAAAAAGAAAAAAAGAAACCCTCTTCATTCTTTAATGAAATGTATTTGTTCCCATCATCTGTTTTAAAAGTGCAGTTAAAAAATGAATCCACTTTCACACACAGGCACTCACAAGCCTGTCATCTAAGTGCTCAGAAATGAACCAAGGTCCTCTGCAAGACCAGCCAGAGCTCTCATCAACTGAGCCATCTCTCAAGCCATGGAAAAATATTTTTAATGATGCCCAGAAACATTAAAAGTACATACATTTCCACTGTATGATTTTGGCATCTTTGTGAAAAATCAGGTGTCCAAAGTGCTACCTCAAGATCCAGCTATACCACTCCTAGGCATATATCCAAAAGATGCTCAAGTACACAACAAGGACATTTGCTCAATCATGTTCAGAGCAGATTTATTCGTAATAGCCAGAAGCTGGAAATAACCCAGATGTCCCTCAGTTGAGGACTGGATATAGAAATTGTGGCACATTTACACAATAGAGTGCTACTCAACAATTAAAAACAAGGAAATCATGAAGTTTGCAGGCAAATGGTGGGAACAAGAAAAGATTATCCTGAGTGAGGTATCCCAGAAGCAGAAAGGCACACATGGTATAAACTCACTTATAAATGGATATTAGACATATTATATAGGATAATCATACTAAAATCTGTACACCTTAAGAAGCTAATCAAGAATGAGGACCCTGGGTAAGATGATCAGTCCTCATTCAGAAAGGCAAACAGGATGGACATTGAAAGAGGGAGAAAACAGGGAAGAGGACAGGAGCTTACCACAGAGGGCCTCTGAAAGACTCGACCCAGCAGTGTATCAAAGCAGATGTTGAGACTCATAGCCAAACTTTGGGCAGAGCGCATGAGGAATCTTATGA